CAACAAGGCACACGAACTGAGCAAGAATGCTAAAATCGATTGCATCGCACAGAACAGCGAGAAGTTCATAACCTTTGGTTTTAAAAACCTTTGTTTCAAGGACAGTTTTAGCTTCTTATCGTCTTCGTTGGATAAGTTGGTAAAGTTGAGTAAGTATGAAGATGATAAAAGGCGTGAGAACTGGAAGAACAATTTTAGATACAGTGTTAGAAATCCATATGTTAAAACCGATGAAGATTTGGACTTGTTGACTGACAAGGGGATTTATCCTTATGACTATTTTGATAGTTTTGACAGATTTACTGAAAGAAACTTACCGCCAAAAGAAGCGTTCTACAGTAAATTAAGTGAGGAACATGTCAACGACAAAGATTATGAAAGGGCACAAAAGGTTTGGAAACACTTCGGTATCAGAACATTAGGACAATATCACGATTTGTATTTGAGAACCGATGTTTTATTATTGACTGATGTTTTTGAAAACTTTAGAGACTTATGTATGGAATACTACGGTTTGGACCCCGCACACTATTATACCCTTCCTAACTTCGCTTGGGAAGCTATGTTGTTGAAAACTGGTGTTGAAATTGAGCAGTTGCACGATAAAGAAATGTATGAGATGGTTGAACAGGGAATGCGAGGAGGTATGTGTCAGGTCAGTCATAAACTGGCTGAGGCAAACAATAAGTATATGGATGAAGCCTTTGATGAAAGTAAACCGTCAAGTTATATCAATTACTTAGATGCTAACAATCTGTATGGTCTGGCGATGTCTCAAAAATTGCCTTTAAAGAACATCAAATGGACAAAGAAAACACCTAACATTGAAAAGTGGGATGAAAAAGATGAGTACGGTTTCATCCTTGAAGTGGATTTGGAATATCCAGAAACACTACACGACTACCATTCGGACTATCCACTAGCACCGGAAATAATGAATGTCAATGCTAATATGTTGTCAGACTATCAAAAGGAAATCTTCAAAATCTACTATGGAAACAAAGGACCGAAGGACGAGAAAACCAGCAAGTTAATATTAAATTTGAAAGATAAAGAAAAATATGTTGTTCATATCAAGACTTTACAGTATTATCTAAAAATGGGTATGAAACTCACCAAGGTTCATAGGATAATAAAATTTCAACAGAGGGCTTGGTTGAAACCGTGGATTGACTTCAACACTGGTAAGAGGAAAGAAGCAAAGAGTGACTTTGAGAAAGACCTGTTCAAATTAATGAATAACGCGGTGTATGGAAAAACTATGGAAGACAAAAGAAAACATATGGATTTTGAACTGGTAGATAATGATGTTAGATATGAAAAGTGCGTGCATAATCCTACTTTCAAAAATAGATTTATCATAAATGAAAATCTGGTAGGAGTGGAAAAGACAAAGTCGGTCTTGAAATTGGATAAACCCATATTCTTAGGAATGACAATATTGGATTTGAGTAAATTACATATGTATGAGTTTTACTATGGTGTGTTGAAAAAGAAATACAACGATAATATCAAATTGATATATACAGATACTGACAGTTATGTAATTCAAACCTTCACGGATGATGTCTACAAGGATTTTCAAGGTATCAAGCAACATATGGATTTTAGTGATTATCCTGTTGAACATCCATGTCATGACACAACAAATAAGAAGGTCTTAGGAATGTACAAAGATGAAGTCACTGGAAAAATCATTACTAGATTCATCGGGTTGAAACCTAAATCCTATGCTTTCACAATCCACGGCGAGGATGAGGAACACAAGAAATCCAAAGGTGTAGTCAAGCACAAGGTTAAAAAGGAATTAACATATCAAAACTATCATGAAGCACTGCATCACAACAAAAAGCATGAAATATCCTACAACTTCATCAGGAGCAAAACACATCAAATATATTCAATGTCTCAAGTCAAGCAATCACTCAGCAATTATGAAACTAGAAGGTTTTATATTGATGCTTTCAATTCAATCCCGTATGGGCACTTTTCCATAAAATAAATATCTAAATAATTCTAATAATATGAAATTATTAGAATTATTTAGTGGGACAGGTAGTGTTTGATTAGTGATATACTTGTTAGTCTCACAGACTGAAGAACAGCACTTCACCACAAACCCTCGTGGCGATTGGCATCATATGCATACAGTGCATCACACAGACAACCGCATTTGGTGGCGCTATGCTACCGAGTGCATGATGCGTTTTGAGCATGGTCATATGCAAAAACCGCATACAATACTGCCTTTTGTTTTAGCTTTCCTATGCAGAAACTGCATACCCTCATGCGTTTTCAGCATTGAAATCTCGAATGCGTCTCAAGCATCATGCGTTGGGAGCATTGGCTCTGTGCTATGCGGTTTGTAGCATGATGCAACTTGAGCATGCTGCTGATGAAGCCCCAGACCGATTAATAAAGGGATACGAGCATTATTGTTGTGAGTATGGTATGAGTTGTTATAGTGGTTATATCTCTGATGAGATTAAATATAGGAGAAACTAACTGTTGTTTGTTCATTTTGTTCTATAACTACAATATGATTACAACATTTATATTATTATATGTTATAACTATAGTGAACTTTTAACCTATGAATACCCCTGAATTAATTTTGACCAAGAAACACTTTTAAAGACTTAGGAACACTATATATTATTGATATGGAAAAGCCTGAAGCGAAGCAATGCTCAAGATGTCTAAAAACAAAAGAACAACTACATTTTGATAAAGATAGAAAACAATGTAATGATTGTATCAAACAAAGACACACATATTATCACAACAATAAAGACAAACACGCTGAATGGGATAAAAAACACTATGAAAAGAATAAAGAACACAAGCAAGAATACAGAAAAGAATACAACCAAAGGAAAATTGATTGTCAATACTGTGGATGTATGGTCTCACTTAGTCAGAAAGCAAAACACGAAAGAACCAAACAACACATCAACAATGTTAAGAATCCAAAACCACCAAAGACTGAAGAAGCAACAAAAGAATACACACAGCAAACAACACAGGAAGAGATAAGAGATTACATTGAAACCTCATCAGATTTTGAATATCAGATGGATTAAGTTTCTTCATATTATTCTACAACTATAATATGATTACAACATTTATCAACTTATAGGTTATAATTTTACCATAGTTATAACATAAATCATCAGTCAATGACAAACCAGAAGACCCGCCCAAAAGCCAACCCGTGAAACCATAGAAAGTCCTAACCTCTTTCAATCAATAAAACTAAAAGTTGAAATCTGGAACGAAACAGGGGACCAAATCATCAATTCGTTACCACATCCATGTCGTTATTTCATGCCCCCAAAATCAGCCTTTTAAAAACGGATAAGGTGGTACACGTGTTGAATTGTGAAATAAAAAACAGAACAGGCAACCATCTACCCCCCACCCCCTGAAATCAGCCTTTTCTACATTTTTTTTGGGGGGGGGGCGGGTGGTTTGGTCGGGCGGCCAGGGGGCAGTTTCGTGACAGGCAGCATGAACAACATGCCACACTTTCAAGACCTTTACTTCGTATGGTCAAAACATGTGCTTGCGTTGCTTGTGGCTGGGAGAGAGCATGAAGTGTGCTGTCCGGCCTGCTGAGTTGCACACTGACTTGAAGTGCATGGACACGCCGTTATTCGAAGCGCGGCAACCCCCCCCCCCCGTCCCCAGTTGACCAACACGTTGTTGCCAACAACCGGAAGCCCCAGCATCTGGCACAGGATTCACGAACAGGGTGCTGTATCTCCGACTCTCGAACTACGACTCTCATGCATCATCGAAGTTGCTGAGGGCAAACAACTTCTCCAGAGGCCACACAGACGTCTTCCGAAACTCCGATTGGAACATGGAGCAAGGAGTGCGTTTCGACTCATGCGATGAACAGCCGGGTGGCCGAATGGATTGCTCGATGTTCTCCGCGCCCCACATGTTCATTTTGTAGTCGTACCTCTACCAAACGAACAAATAGCCAACTGCAAAACAAAACCGGAGGGTTCCGAGAGTCTCATTGAATATCAGTTTTGAGTCACGCTGGTAGAAAAATTGTTGGAATAAGCTGTTCGAATCCACTGAAGGGTTGATTTCCATGCCCTTTACACCCAGTTTTCAGTTCTCCGTGAAAAAGCCAAAAAAAAAGGAGCTCAACGTTCCTCCCAGGCAAACCCGAAGAAGAAGAAAAAAAGAAAAAGAGACACCGGGAAATGGATGCAACGATGTCTTTTTCTTGGGACCCGGTTCTGTTGGATTTTGGGTAAGCCTCAAGAAAACCAACCATTCCACCCCGATCGTTTTGAGGCAAAACCATGCGAGAAATTAGAAGAGGCAGGCGCTAGGAGAGCATCTGGCTGATTCGGACACCTGGGAAACACTGAAGACTGGATGAAAGACCCATGAGTGTGCCCTAAAATGAGGGAACGCAGAGATACGAACCTCTGGCATCAACCTCTTGCTTCCCACTTTCCGGGACACTGGCCACAAGGCCCTGCCTTTGACCGGGACGATTGTGGGCCGCCAGAGTAGCCAGACGCGAGAATAGCTTACGCGTGTGCCGAGATGGGCGTGATTTGACAACATGCAAATTTGGGCACACTGACTTGGTTTTGCGCATGGGGAGATATGGGCAAGTGCTTGCGCACATGCAAACATGGACAAACGCATTCGATTTGTGCACATGTCGATGTAGGCAAATGGTAACTCACTACGCACGTATTTAAAATTTAAACACTACGCGCTATGGATGTAGGTGCGTTCACGCGTGCGGCTGAAGCTTCCTTTAATATGCACCAGGGCGGTAGGTGGCACAAGTCCCCGTCTGGGAAGGGGATGGCTAAACCCAGTGGAAAGGGGAAATTGACGCATGTACCCTCCAAAAGCCTGCAAAAGCCCTGCTCGAGAAAAATAACTTACGGGCGGTTCTAGCTTCCATGCTTTGGGTAGGACAAGCAGGGGCGTCGCTGCCCATCTCTCCCACGGTTCTGGGCTCACTCCCCAGACTCGTGCCACCATCTGCGGGAGATGGCGAAGAGGCCTGGCCAATGACCGAGATGGGGCCGGTTGGGTTTGAAAAAAAAGCGGCTGCCTTGTGCCTTAACCAAGCTACCCTTTGCTATGTAGCCTACGCAGCAATTTAGCATGTACATGCATGCCGCAAAAACTCGCTAAGATGTTGTTCCGTGATGGCAAGATCATGGAGGTGACTCTTGTCGCAGCCTGACCGGCAACCCAAAAGACAAACAACTTGAAAAGGCGGCTTAGGGACAGAAAAGCAAAGCAGGGCAGACCCACCCACTACAGGGGGCAAGCTTGAGTAGCTACCCGCAAAGCTTCCGACTTCCCCTCAGCTGATCAATATTCCTATTTGTTTGAACCCCATCTTCGCAAGAACAATATCTTTCGCAGCGAGCGCTGTGAAGCCATTGTGGCGGCTGCAGCTATGCTCGCAAACGCAGAACCTGCAGCTCACTTGCATTGGCAGGCTTGCAGCAGCGTTACGTGAAACAGTCATCATCCATCGCCCTAGCCACTTGCGCTTGCCGGGGATGTGCGGCACCTTGCAACAAACCCCCCGGGATTTCGCCGGTCTTCGCGGATCTTTCGCGAACACATAACTCCTTGCAAGGACCTCTTGGCCAACCTCCAAAAGAAACCTGGTTGAACAAAAACAAAGAAATGCGCAGGGCTCGAACTACAAAGCCAACAAGTGGGTCCAATTTCCGGCACTTGTTCCAAAAAAAACCATCCGACGCGGCCCAAGCGCTGCAAAGGAACCGCTCCCGGCTTCAACCCCCCCAGAGCCTCTCGGAGGTGCTACGTCAGTAGAAGGAAGGGCAAGGGGTACAAGTGTTCTACAAGGGAACCCGACCATCTGTGAAAAGGCCACGAAGATGAGTTTCCGACCGGTGCCAGGTTGGGAGGAAGGGCCAAAGGATGAAAGGATGAAACAAGATTGCCCAAATCCAAAAAGAACGGTGGTTTCCCTTCAAAAGCCGAGCGCCCCGGCGGAAAGCGGAATACACACCCTTTGGCGTGGGGGCTGAAACCCTCTACAAGGGCACCGTGCCTCCACTCATGCAGGGCACTAGGTCGTTGCCATCCTCGAACCAGTTGAAGAAAAGGCTCCAGTCAAACCTTCGGGTGGCACATGCGAGCGGCATTGCATTGTGTTAGATGACCATGTAAAATATAAGCAAAACATGACTATTATGGGAAAATGTGGCGCCATCTCAGTTGCATGTCCGATGTTTCATACCTAAGAGTTCGCAACTCTTCAAAGGTTCACCTGCCAGTGGCTGGGACCCAAGGCAGGCTGCTCACACCCGCAGACATGCAGCATACCTTTTTCTGCTCTTAAGCTGGGTTCTGAATGGGTGTGGAAAGCAGAACATGCGCCCTTCCGAGGCGCTCTTGGGATCTGGGTTCAGAGGAAAATCAGCGGACCCAGCCCGTCCAACCCCGAACCCCGCAAACCGTGACCGATGTCGAATACTCACGTCTGTTCGAGTTCGAATGAATCATGAAGTAACTGCCACCTGCCACCGGCCGAAACAGGCTCCAATACCCATCGACTTGAGGTTGCTCCTAGAAGGCATTCGAACCTCCCACTAACATTCCGTCTAAGGGTTGAGCGCTGCTCAAGTGCGGTGCAAACACAAGATGTGCATATATCCAAATAGCACAACCCCTCCCAACAGCATCTGGTTTCCTTTTGGCTTCCCTTCTTACACCGGGTACCCTCAAAAACCCTCGACACGGCCCAATTTCTTCCCATTGCCCCACTTTCGTCGCTCGAGAAGCATCATCTTCACGCCCACTGCGTTCTCGTCGGTCTTCCAGGTGTCACCGTCCAAAATGGGGATCTCGGGCACTACCACACCTCAGGCGACAAGTTTGGTAGCTCTGAAAACAGACGGGATGCTCTGGAATGGTCAGTGTCTCAAATAAGCATCACGTTCTTCGGCGCCTCCAAACATCTTAGATGCCTTGACTCAAGATGCCTTCTGAAGCGAAGGGAAGGTGCCTTCCGCTGACTTTTCAGCCAGATGCTTTTGGCCTAAAGACCCACGGACTTCAAAAGCCATCCCCTTGGGACCAGACTCCAGCGAGACGCCTGTAAGACTTCAAGATAAGGCCAAGATCAGAGCCTTGAGTGGGAGAATCGAAGGCCCTTGCATGAACCCATGCGCCAATCCCTTGTATGACCCCCTAGTTTACTTCTTTCATCCAGAGCCACGGCCGAATGGGAGACCAGTCCCCACCAGGAGTCCCATGAGTTCATATGCCTCAGCCTTGGAGACCGCATGTACGGAGGTGCCCCGGGAAGTCCAAGCGGCGCTTGTAGTTGATGCCGATGTGCTTCAAGAGAGGGCGATACCAACCTCAGGGAGGCGTACAGCGGGTCCATTTGAGCACCTAAGGACCTACGCGAGCTTCCTCACTTCCATGGCACCTGTGGGAGGGAACCTGGAATCAACTTCCTGGAACCCCCTGTCAGCTGCCATGTTCGTGGGAGACAGAGCAAAAGGTGGCTGACAGGGAACCACTGCCAAAGCGGCGTTTTAGGTAAAGGAACCCAGGCCTTTCCAGGCCTCCTGCGAAGCATGAAGACAGGACACCTTCTGTTGGCTAGGCAATTGCCCGTTGAGCAAGGCTAGTTCCTCCAGTAGAGAGGCTAGAATAAGGGTACCCTTTTGTCTGTAGTCTACTTTAGTAGGGGAACCCTCCCCCAAAAAAGTGTAAAAAGGCACTACTGGGGGACCTAGAAGGTTACACCACTGTTGAACAACCTCCCTGTTGGTCTCCTGTCCGTCGCCTGATATGTGTTTTGTCACCCCACATTTGTTCCCATGATCAGATTGACCTTGTGAACCCCTTAAAACGGTCTCAAAATCATGACCCCAGTCTGCAGCCTTCTGCCCGATTGGTCTTGGTCGGGTCCGGCCTGTGAAGATGCAGGCTCGCGGGTGCAAGCCATGTGAAAACATGAAGAAAGGGAGAAAGAAGCAGAGAAAGAGACAGTTCTTGACCTGGCTGATGCAAACACAGAGCACACCCAGGAAAAACTGCCCGGCCCTTCTCGTCAGCCACAAAGACACCCCTCCACGCGACCATGGCTTGGAACCATCTTTGCTCGCCTTCTTCGGGCTTCACGTGCGCGTCCAGGAACATGATCACGTCCTACGGGATCTGCTGAGAAGTCGACTTCCCCAAAGCGCCACACGGGAAGCTTCCCAAGAAAGTGGCTGACCCCTCAGATTGGAAGAAACCAGCCCTCATGGGTCTCACGAGACCTTCGTCCATGCTCTGCATTGGACTAGATGGGTATGGGGAGCCCCTGTATTGGGGGCACGTACCCCCTGTATTGGGCGTACTTTGAGAGGCCATGTCCAAGAATGACCCAGAGTTGAACTGAAACCGACTGGTGGAGTCAGCCTTAGTGAGAACCTTCTCACTCACTTTTGTTTTTTTTTGGGCGAGGCTTCTAGCCATGGACGCGGGGAGGGCGAAAGGTGGGACGCGTCGAATGTATATATGGCTGTTGGTTGTCACTCCCATGTGGATGGGTGGCGGCATCGATCCACCTCCCATTCAGAAACCCAACGGAATGATCCGATTACCGGTAAATACCAACGAACATGGCGTCAACCCTGGTTTCAAATACCCCCCCCCCCCCCCCACTTCACATGCCAAAGGGCTCCATTTTGGGCCATCTCCCTTTTGTGGGGTCCGGGCACCCCCTTTTTGGGGCCAAAAAAAGACCAATGTTGGATTTGTTTGGGAGAGTACAACAGCTGCAACAAAAGAAACCATCCAGCAAAAGAATTGAGAATTTAAGGCTGAACGTATGAACCCTTGAATGAAGCCTGATATGGACTGCTGGCAGCCCGTAGTTCATTGGTTCCTTAGCCGCGAGACAGCCTAAGGGCTCCCAAAGGGCCGGGTTCATATCGTGGGCGCTTACAATCAGCCAGCCCCGAATTAACATGGAATCCCAAAAACGGATTGAGAGCTTCTTGCAACAACCCTCCCTGGCCTCCCTGTTTCCGGGACGACCTCCTTTTTGGGGATTTGGGGAGATCCTTCCCTTGGCAGCGCGGGGAGTCCAATCCCTGCGCTCCGCGCATGCGGAATCCGCGCATGCGGAACCCGCGCATGCGGAACCCGCGGAGACGCGCAGAACGGCTCCGAGGCTCGCGCGCCCTTGGCGGCGTTGCCGCCCTCGGTCTTGGACTTGATGAGGCCCCGCCGCGCCTCGTGCCTCAACCTGAGGACCCCAGCGGGCCCCAGGTGAGCCCTGGACCCCGAGCCCCCGAGCCCCCGAGCCCCCGAGCCCCCGAGCCCCCGAGCCCCCGAATACAACGCCAGAAAAAGGCTCGGAACCGAACCTTTGGGGATTTTTACCCACAAGAAACGGAACTCGCGGAGTGAGTTAGACTCTCCGAGGGAACCACTGACTGGAGCGTACAGTGGGGTTGATGAACTTGGGGTCAACATGACGGGGATTTCCCTTTGCGGCTTCCCAATTTGTTTGGAGGACCCAAAGTGGCGATCGATTTAATGGGAATCACCGGTACCTGGTACCTTGATCAACTCTTGAGTTGGGGAAATCCCTTCGTGGCTTTCGATTGCGAGGGAACTGCTTGGAGCTCATCACAGCGTTCGCGGAAGCCACGGCAGGGGTGCCATCAACTGGGACCTTGGGTCCTTTAAAGGGGTGCGGCTCACTTGAGCGGGAGGGCGGGAAAAAACAATTGTGCGGTTGCCACTAAAATGGTCTTCCCAATAGATATGAAGCCCAAGCCATCAGAGAGTGAGAGGTGCAAAGGAATCGTTTACACATGAGTCTTGTTGCCCCATGTTGGGGCAAGCTAAGGTGCGTGCTAGGGCACTGGTAATTCCCCAAATCTTTCCCGCACCATACGCCGAGAAACATATGTCATTAATTCCGCTATGCGCTCGGTCGTTAATAAGTTAAACATATGGCAACGCGGCTCTGTGCAAAGCGCCTTGAGGGGATACCAAAGGGGACACCTTTCAAACGTTCCCCAGTCAGTGATGGGCTGGCGGGCTGCAAGCCGAAGGCAAATTGGTTTGGCTTCCTCGATTCTCGGTGTAACCGAAGGTCCCGGATGCATCGGCCTATCAAAAGTAACCCAACTGGGTCTCCGTGCACCGTCACCTTCCCGTAGCCGGTCACCAGCGGCCCCAAGGGCGGCTTGCTCCCGTCGTCCACCTATGAAGGTGCGGTGTCCGACGCAACGAATATGGGGGGAACGAGCCCATAGGCTCTGGCATTCCAACAAAGAAACCCTGAAAACGCAAAGTGGCCACCGTTTTCTTTTAGCTTTTCCAGCCAAAGCAAAGAAGATTTGAAAAATGAACTTTTGACATGCATCAACTACCTGGTGCAAAGCTGTCAATACGGGAGAAATCTGAATCTGGACCAATAGTCCGCCAACACATAAACTTCGGGACCTTCGTCAGGAACGTTGCGATTCCCCAGACGTGCGTCACGTCGCTTGCCCAAACAAGGGAAGGCGCCACACGTGGCAACCAAATGTTGGTTCCCCAACGGATCCCTATTTGAAGCCAAAGTTTCGGAGCGGATTGGTGGTATTTGGAGCTCGTGGGGAAAGCTTTGGTTTAGTCACGGTCAACCCCGGCTCCGCCAAACTTTTGGAGACCTGGGCAAGAACCAAACCAACCGGACCGCACTCAAATCTAAGATGGCGTTTAGCCCCAAACCACCCCCAGGGCAGAACTGGGTATAGAAACTTCTAGTTTTCTTGTTTCTACGGGGGAATCTACCCTTCGTGTTTTTTGTTGCTTTCTCGGTGTCGTGGCTGTACATCCCATATCCCTCAGCTTGGCGCCGTGGAACAAATCGAGCGACTCAGCGAGCGGCCACGAGGATCTCGAGCAGAACTTCCGCCGGCGTTTGCTGGATGATGGAGTCCAGCCTTGCCCCCATCCCCCCCCGCCCGGGTGGACTGGAAACTTCTAGGGGACACTTCCCCATTCTTTCCAGGGATCCTTCTTTCCAAAAAACCATCAGAACTCTAGGGGAAACAGCTGGTTTTTGAAAAGAACGATGGTTGAAAGAATGGGGAATGGACCCCTAGAAAACTGGATGGGCTGCGCACGCAAAGATGAACAAAACAAAAAGAGCAGGCTGAAGAGGGCCCCCTCGAACAAAAGACGCGCTCGCGTCACGCGTCAATCATTCGCCAAACCGAACACAGGCCTCGCTTGGGGAGCTTTCAACAGAAACTGTGCGTAGCTCGACCCCGACAGGGACATCCGGCAGCCCGCGCTGCACATGACCGGAAGGAGCTCCAGCTTCACCCATTGTGGCATTTTTGTTTCCTGAAGAGTGGGGGATGCTGTGAGCAGAACATATAGTAAGTTAAGACATGCATAGGAGCTCCTTCGCGAATGGGATGTTGAATCAACTTATGCTTGAATACTTTAATAGGGAAGAACTAATTATGTTTTCCCTAGGTTAATTGAACTGAGGTTGCATGGTTGTCGAGTTGCTTCTGTGTGTTTTGCGCCAGTACGGTATGCCAAGAATGTCCCTCGCCAGGTTTTGTTGTTATTGTGTTTTGTATCTAATTTATGTCTACGTGACTTGGAAAAGGAATTATTCTCCCTTGACTTCTGATCTTCCGAGATTGACACCGAACAAATTAGAACTCTAAAAACGAACAAACTGACAAAGGAAATGGTTGGATCTTACTCACTTATATACAAGTCTGAAGCTAAAAACAAATCAAGCAATCAACAAAAACCATCTGACAAAGGACATTATTGAATCTTGCCCACTGACGAATCCAAAAAAAAACGTAGAGAAATCGGGGCAAAACAATATGACAAAGGAAATGCTTGACTCTTGCTCATGCGCCAGGAGCTGCCACTGCCAGGTGTTGCTCTCCTTTTTTTAAAGGAGCGGGCCAATTGAAAGAAACAACAACAATGCATTCTCTCTGTATTAACTTCAGAATCCATTTCTGGTTTAGGTGGACTGTAAAAAGCATATGTGGAAACGACATCCTATTGAAGCTTTAGCTTAACAGACAAATTATACTTGATTGGTTCCTGATTCATTCGGAATCCAGAGCGAGAGGCTTGCTGAATTGCCGCTTCTTACCCACCGCTCAGGACGTACCTTTCTGCTGAAGAAAGCAAGAGGTTTTTGAAGTGCCACTTCTTGCATCCACTCAGGCAACTTGTATGCTGAAATCACGTTGCAACATTTCCCACCCCTTGGCTAGCGCCCGCCTGCCCAGCAAGCACGCTGGATCCCCAAACGCCCACGGCAAAGAACGAAACGAGCAT